CTGCGCTAAATAGAAGTCCTGCCGGGTGTGCCAGCCCATGACAGACGCTTACCAGACCGTCTATAAACATTTCTGGTTGGGAGTTCATTGTGAATCTGGCTGTGATCGTCGTCCTGACTGCGACGTTAAAGAATTCCTGAAGAGATGGGGGCGCTCTATAAATTCCTCCTGATCAGCCAGATCACATGGACAGGAAGGCTCGTCGCCGTACGAGGGTAAATAAGAGTGGTTGGGCTGGCTTGCTTGGTAAGGACTTGGGCACAGGGGTGGGCCGAAATACACACGAAGACACTGCCTGCTCAATGATGTTGTCCGGTATGTTGGATTGAGGGGAGGGTAGGTTCTAATTGGTGCTCAACTGAATACACAACCATACCCACTCATCATACATCTGCAACATGGTCTTTTTGTATTTTGATCAGTTGGTGGACAGACTGCTAACACCTCACAGACAGATTAGATTAGGACTGTTGTATGCTACCATAGCCAGTTCTGTCAAATGCTGCTGTAAGTGAACCAGTCAGAGTACATCTAGACTATGTAGACAATCTGTTGTGAATGTTGTAGACATGCCACTTGATTGGTACAGTAGGGGACCTGCCGGACACAACTACTTTTAGAAAATTAGGTGCCGGTCAGACATATGCTGTGGTAGGATTCCAGTAGGGGGTTCTAGTGCAAACAATGTTTGCCTAATTCATGAAGGGGTCGGACGTCGATGAGGAGAGAGTTGACGATGCTAGACTAACACATGCAAGGTCACGTAGGATCCCGCACGTGTTCCAGGCCCTACAACCGGAAGACGAAAGACGCATTCGTGTCGAACACAGAGCCCGTGCTCTCGCAGCATCGAGAGAGGCAGCAAACGTTGCAGCTAGGGAACAGGCTGCAGCAGCAGACAGGGCAACAACCATGTCTTCTGCAGCAGCATCCTCCACTGCATCTTCTGTTGTCTCCTCGTCTGGACCCCAGTTGGGAATGCCAACAGGGTCCGCGGGCACTTCCAGTTCAGTAGGATCACGACAGTCTACAAGTCAAATGGCGGGCTCGCAGTTCAGCCCGTTGACTCCTCGCGAAAGGGAGCTTAGGGAGCTCCAACAAGTCGAAAGGATCCGTGAACAGTAAGAGAGGGATCTGAAGAAAGCTACCGACAGAGAAAGAGAGATTAAAAATAGAACAGCCAGGCTTGATACTTTAGAGGCTGACAAAGCTGAGTTAGAGGGCTTGGATGACTCTGGAATGAATGAGCCCATGAAAGTGTTGAGGAACAACATGTTGTCGCTGCATGCGCACGTGGACAGCACGTTGGACTTTATACAGAGCACTCTAGACCAGATCCTGGATGCTTTGACAAGGCCAGGATTTAGGCCACCAGCACAATCGTCGTTGCCGTTATCGATGATGTCAGGTCCCTTTCCAGTTCAAGCTAGTACACAACCAAGTGGTACGTCTGCAGCAGTCGCACAGACTGTTGCATCTTCTTCTTCGGGTCCAGCGGTGGGAGCTATTCCACCGCAACAACCTGTTCAACAATCTGGACAGTCGCAGGGTCAATGGTATCCTAAGACCCCAATGAAACCGCCTCTTGCCTTCTCAGGCGAGAGAAAGGACGAAGAACTCAACACATGGTTGAGGACCATCCCGGTTTGGGTGAAGGCAAAGAGGACCTTGCCTGAGGATGAAGTGGTAACTGCTGCATCTTACCTCGAGGGTAAGGCAGCCAAATGGCTAGATGGTGTAGTTGTGAAGGCAGGGTACGGGCGACGCATGGCGGACTGGGCTAAGTCATTAACGTTAGACCAGTTCATGGAAATGGTAGAAGCTCGATGGCATAATCCTCAGGAGGCACAAAGAGCCACTGATGCGATTAACAAACTGGACCAAAGAAAGTTCAAGTCGGTCAGCGAGCTTACGATTACCGTTGAGAGTCTGATCCTCGTCCCTGGCATCAACTATAGTGACCAGTTCCTGTTAACAACCTTTGTTAGATGTCTTCCTGAGAACATCAGAAACTTGCTGGCCAGCGAGGCACGCCTCGAATACCATTCATTTGAGACATTGTCTAGGAAAGCCTTAGATTTAGAGGCCACACTAGGCAATGTTCAACCCACTCAAAATGACACGAAGAAGAAGAAGAGTCCTCAGGAGTGGAAAAAGACAGGGGCTAAGTTGATGATGGTGGAGTCCGATGGGACTCAAACTGAGATCGACGAGCTCACCGACCTGATGGACTATACAGAGTTTGACGGCGAGGAGGTAGCTGAGGGTAGCACCCTTGCCGCTGTAGTCAAGACTAAGGCAGGTGGCCGAGGGAAGGGCCAACCTAGGAGTCAAGGGAAGGCCGCCTCCAATCAGTCCAAAGTGGCTGAATGGGTGAAGGCAGGTCTTGACCAAGACGTGTGGCGTGACCGCCGAGTGCATGGCGCTTGTATCAATTGCGGGGAATACGGACACTCGCAATACAAATGCCAGAACGCAAAGGTTACGCAAAAGATAGCTCCAAAGATGGGGGCATCTTATTCCCAGGCTTCTAGCTCGGGAAACGCGTGAGGCCAGTGGAAGTTTTAGCGGCTTCTACTCAAGATGACGTGGGCTTGATACCCTCCCCACTTCATGACAAGGCCGAAGCTAATGACTCCTTAGCCACCCCGCAGACACATCTAGACCAAACTATGCTCTATACGTTAGATGTGTCTGAGGCCTTAGAAGACTTAGAAGGTGAGTGGTCAAAGAAGGACCCTCGCGAGTCTTGGGTGGCACTGAAGAAAGGTCCTAGAGGGGAACATTTCGTGGTGGAAGTGGATGGAGGAGGCCGCAAATGTGGTGCCTTCATAGACATCGGATTCACGCGAAATTACATAAGTCGCGACTGTTTGGAAAGGCTGAACCTACAGGACCGGGTACAACACCTTAGTAGACCAGTAGCATCTACTTTGGCCAACAAGGAGCGCATGATAGTAACAGACTACATCAAGGACGTAGTCTGTACCTTCTCCTATGGAGAAGGATAACTTAATCATAAGATCTCGTTCTTGGTTAGCGACGACTTACCATTTGACATGTTGTTAGGCATGTACTACCTCGAAGTTGCTAAGCCCCAGTTCGACTGGGGTAAGAAGGTGCTCAAGCATAAGTTGCCCGATGGCCGAACTGTCAGATTGACTAAGTTCAAGGCCAGTAGTATTAAAGATACCTATGGCTGCTTGTGTGCATCATCGTTCTACAATTACTATAAGCAAAACCAAGAGGAGGGTATGTACCTTGTGTATGTCTCTAAGAAAGGGGAGGCCGTTAAAAAACCCCCAGAGATAGAACGCGTCGTTGCTAAGTTCCTTGATCTGTTCGAGGAGCCCACAGGAGTTGTTGAAAGGGAAGTTGTCCACGCTATAGAAATCATTCCAGGGAGTAAGACCCCAAAGGGAAGGATCTATAGGATGGCTCCCGCCGAGTTAGATGAACTTCGGCGACAGCTTAAGGAGCTGACAGAGAAGGGATGGATTCGGCATAGTACCTCCCCTTACGGATCACCCGTTCTATTCGTACCGAAGAAGGGAGGTACTTTGAGGATGTGCATTCACTATAGAGGCCTCAATGCCATCACAGTGAAGAACGCAGAGCCTCTACCTCACATAGACGACCTATTGGATAGGGTGCAGGGATTCAAGTACTATAGTAAGATAGACTTGAAATCCGGATATCATCATATCGCAATAAGACCTGAGGACCAACACAAGACAACCTTCCATACCAGATACGATTTGTATGAGTTTGTAGTGATGCCCTTTGGTCTTTGCAATGCGCCGGGTACATTCCAGCACGCTATGAATCGGATCTTTCATGACCATTTAGATAAGTTTGTCATGGTATACCTTGACAACATTCTGATCTTTAGCAAGTCTGCCGAGGAGCATGCAAAGCACGTTGAGACTGTACTCTCACTCATGCGACAACACAAGTGTAAGGTCAACTTAGAGAAGTGTGAGTTCGGTCGCACTAAGATACTATACTTGGGTCACGAAGTATCCGCGGAAGGGATTAGGCCGGAGGATGCGAAGGTGGTTAGTATTCGAGACTGGCCACGACCTTAGACTGTCACTGAGGTCAGATCATTCTTAGGAATGTGCGGYTACTATAGGAACTTCGTAAAGAACTATTCTACAGTCGCCTCTCCTTTGACTGATCTAACTCGACTTGACACGCCGTGGGACTGGAGTGATGAGTGCGAAGGTGCTTTCAAGAGATTGAAGCATGCACTCATGAATCATGAGGTCCTCATGGTTCCCGATCCTCAGAAGCCATTCATAGTGACCACTGACGCAAGCCAATATGGCATTGGCGCAGTGCCGGCTCAACAGGATGGGAAAAAGTTGAGACCAATTGAGTATATGAGCAAGAAGATGCCATCAAAGAAGTTGGCAAAGTCCACCTATGAAAGGGAACTCTATGCTCTATATAAAGCACTTGTCCATTGGAGACACTTCCTATTGGGAAGGTTCTTCTACTTGAGGACTGATCATCAGACCCTCAAATGGATCAAGACTCAACCGGCTCTTTCTGATGCACTCAAGCGATGGACCAGTATGACTTCAAGCTTGAGTATCTGAAGGGAGAGTATAATAAGGTTGCTGATGCGCTATCATGTAGAACAGACTACCTAGGTGCGCTAGTTTCTGACTTTGGCGTATCTGATGAAGTAACTCGATCGTTGGTGGGAGCCTATCAGGAAGACCCTGTCACGATGGACATCATTCGCAAACTTCAGGCAAAAGACAAGGCCACGGAAAGCGAGTTTGTGATGGTGGACGGGCTCCTCTATCTTGATAAGGCCGGAATAAAAAGATTAGTAGTTCCATCTAGTGGACCTTTGCGTAGTTTGTTCTTAGGAGAATGACATGACGCAACGGGACACTTCGACTACAAGAAGACGAGTGCTAACCTAGTACAACGATTTTGGTGGCCAAGAATGTTAGATGACGCAAAGAAGTACGTAGAGACCTGTCAGGTCTGTCGGCGGGACAAGCTGCGAACTCAAGCACCGCTTGGGTTGTTGAAGTCTTTGCCTATTCATGCTGGTCCAGGACAGAGTGTTTCCATGGATTTCATGGACACCCTGGTGACTAGTAAGAGTGGCAAGAGGCACATCTTCGTCATCATCGATCGATTCACCAAGTACGCTAGACTAGTGGCTATGCCAGAGACCGCAAGAACTGACTATGCCATCAAGTTGTTCAAAGACAACTGGGTGCGTGACTTTGGTTTACCAAAGTCAATCATTAGTGACCGAGATGTCCGATTCACAAGTGAGTTGTGGAAGAAGACTGCAGAACAGATGGGCAATCAACTTCAGATGACGTCAGGGAATCATTCCGAAGCCAACGGACAAGCCGAGCAAATGAACAGAGTTGTACAACACTTGCTGAGGCATTACATCAAGCCCAGCCAGGATGATTGGGATGAGCAGTTGCCTCTCATCGCCAGCCTGTACAACAATGCTGTCCACAGCAGTACCGGCGTTAGTCCTAATCAACTTCACTTGGGATGGAAGCCTAGATCAGCATTAGACTTCCTCCTACNCCTGTACAACAATGCTGTCCACAGCAGTACCGGCGTTAGTCCTAATCAACTTCACTTGGGATGGAAGCCTAGATCAGCATTAGACTTCCTCCTACCCGAAAACCGACCCGCTGCAACTCCAGGCACACTTGAGTATGGTATGCAGTATGAGAAGTTGCTGCAAGAAGCTGTCGAGCACATGAAGAAAGCTCAGCAAGCAATGCTTGCTTCTGAGAATCAACATCGCAGACAGTCCACATTTCAAGTAGGGGAACGAGTCTGGGTCAAGGCTAGTGAGTTAGGACAGGAATTCAGAATCTCTCACAAACTAATGCCTCCGTACTTTGGTCGCTGGGAAGTCCTGGATATAGTGGGAGATGAGATGGATGGTCCCACATATGTCATTCATGTCCCTGGACACCTACGCACTCACCCAGTCTTTCATGCCTCAAAGCTTGCACCTTTCGCTGAGACAGATCAATTCCCTTCCAAGAGATCGATGCTGCCCCCAACCATGGATGGTCAAGTGGACATCGACGACATTGTGGATCACAGAGATCTGCCTGTTCCTAAACCATTGGGTAGAGGAAGACCTCCTAAACCCAAGAGAGAATATCGTGTCAGATTCAGGCATCATACGGATCCAAAGGAAGACCGGTGGTTCACCAGAGAGGAACTGATTGACACAGCTCCTCAGGTGGTGGCAAAATATGAGAAGAAGCTGAAAGGGAAGGCACCTGCGAAGTAAGCATCTCAGCAGACTTTCGAAGCTAAGGGGGATGGAATGTGAGGATTGAGCCCTCAAGTGGGGGCCTTGCCATGATGTACATGTTCTGGGCTAAGGCCCCAGCAAGCCTAGTGCCCGCCCTAAGTGAAGGCGGGCCAGCAAATCAACAAAAGCCCTATGTACCAACATTTCACGAAGTGGGGTCCATACAATTGCAGCACGCCAGTTGGTTGGAGTGCACCGAGTCTCGGATTTCAGCAAATGCTGAAAACCCAGGGCCTCTGAGTTAGTTAGGCCCTGGGCACTTGAACGTGAGGCCGACAATGCATGCTGGGTATAGAGGCCGAAAATGCCAAAGGGAAATCGGCCCACTATCTGAATCTGGCCGCAGGCCTTGATGAAAAAGGCGCAACTGCATTGCCCCGGGCCTCAACTGTATCAGGCTGGGTTCAGCCACTGGGGCCCAGTCGCAAGCTGAAGGGAGGCCGCCCACACGCAGCACTGGCATATAGGCAAGCAGGGCGAGTGGGCAGGGATTCTTGGCCAATGCAGGCATTGTGGGCACGCTGCGTTAATGCGAGGTGCTGCGCTGTGCAGAGCTGCGCTGCGTTGGGATGAGGCAGGCTAGCGTTAGGCGGTAGGGCGCTGCCTGTGCACTGGGCGCTTGGCGGCCATAGCCGGGCTGCATAAGGGTGCAGGGGAGGTGAGGGCAAAGGTGGTTCTTCGGAGGTGAAGGGCGCTGTGTGGGTAGCAAGGGAGAGTGTGGGTGAAGAGGACACGTACCTGGTGGAGGTGGAGGTCGGCATTGGTGTTGACATCATCACTCGCWGGTAGTCAAGTTGTCTGGTTGCTTTCATTGCTGTAGTTGTAGGCTTAGTCTGTAGAGTAGATAGGGCGCCTGGCGCCATTCATAAGAGAGAGCTACATTGGGTTATGTTGTTGGTGTTGCCCTGTTGGGCATGGACATTGACTCTTCTATATCATTCTCAATTGGATGGTTACTCGGTTCCATTGTGCTATCTGCTCTGGCTTTGACTACTTGGACTTCAGTGTGATTTTGCATTCTGGATTTCTGTGCTTCGTCCATATTCATGTTCCTTGCATTAGTATAAGCTTGCAGCATAACCGTCACAAGGTAAAATGTCCTTTTATGGTGCTTCAGGATATCTTCCTGAAGGTATTTCGCAATTAGCTGTCCTTCTATCTCGGCCACATGCTTTTTGCAGATAGGTTATAAGGTAGACATCTCTTGATTGTTTGAGCAGTTAGGCAGTCTGGTAACCCATGTAGGTCTGTTTGTACCTTAGTTAGCCCTTGAGGTCGCAGAAATAGTGATTACCTAGCTTACTCCAAAGATCAGTCCTTTCCGTAAAATACCTTACACTTCTCTGTCCTGCTGGTTTAACATACATTTGAGAAAAAGATCCAGACGGAGAAAGAAGGTTTTGTATAACATTGAGGACAACCATAGGCATTAGCATAGGTTCTCTGCATTCTATCCACGTTCAAAGTGCACAGTCGCATGTTCATTTTTTTATTAAAAAAACTAAACTACCCAAAAGTGTTTATTGTAATTTTTCAATTAGTAAAATATGAAATTAAGTTTTATATTATTTATTTGGAGATCCTCGTTCTCCAAATCCCCATCTCTTTTAGTTAGATTTTCATGTAATCTCTAAGGGTATGTGTATGGCCCTATCCGTCTCTCCTTCGTTTGATTCGCCAGTCGTCATCTCACAACACAAGTGTCGTCCTATAGTTCTTTTCTTCAAGGGAACCAAGGAGAATACAGACACCTAGCAACAACATTATCTCTCTCAGAAGAAGCTTGTTAGGCCTGCCCTTCCGAGATTCAGAGATTAGGAAGATATCCCACCCGTGGTTCTGTTTGTCCCCATAGGAACACTTCAACCTTGAAGTGGTACCTCCTAGCGGATGTCACAAAAGGCTTGTCGCTATCCGGCAAACGAGACTATTGTCCACAGTTGCCTTCCCCTTTAGCCGGAGAAACAGCGCTATGGTAATCGTGTAGCCCCTACACACGTCTTTGATGTGGCCTACGATAGACTCTACAGCTCTCCTTGGCCGCTGCACTAGGTCCTTGAGCTCAGCATTTCCACACAAAAAACGGCAAGTGTAGTCCCAGGTAGAGTCATTGTCTCCGAGAGCCCTATCAGGTTAAGGCCGCTTAACATTGACTTCTACCAACCCTCAGGACCTCAATTATGGTTACCCAAGCAGCTAACAGGTCTTTCATAGACCGTTCTGGCAAGCTCCTCTAAGGACTCAGACACATCACATGAACAGAGTATCATGTGGTCTAGATGTGCCTGCGGGGTGACTAAGGAGTCAGTAACCTCAGGCTTCCTTTGAGATGGTGAGGGATCTTCAACCATCTCACTCTGCGCAGAAGCGGTTACAGCTTCGTCGCGCCCGATGTGTTTACCCTGGGAACTGCTCGCAGTGCTTTCCCAGGTTGAGAGTGCCTCATGCCCCCTATGAGGACGCACCCTCGGTGACCAACTCGTTTGAACCTTGCCCCTTGGTACGACCGTACAGGCCACACCCTTCGCAAATGTTCCGCATGGGTCAGTTTCCCACACACCCATTGCAAGACTCTACTTATTCCTACTGATAAACAAGAGTCTTCTTGTTGGCTCCTAGACTGATTAACCTACTGCAAATCAGTCGCCTTAGCCTTATCTTAAGACGACCAGCACTTCTCCCTCAGAAGTCTTCTGATCGCTGACAGCTCTGTCTATCTCCCAAGGATCATGGACTCCCTCTACCCCTTCCTGATTTCTTTCAGAAACTATATACAGTAGGAATTCCCCTTTAAGTTTTTGATCCTGGGGTAGCTTCTTTTTGCCCCCTTTGACTGGACTTTAACTTGCGTTCTTAAGCTTATCCTTTATGCCTAAGACCGACCTATATAGGAAACGGTATTCGTACGCAATTCTTGTGGTCGCAAGGACTACCCCATTCTCTATTCTTTCTTTATGGAGTAATCATGAGATCAAGGGTCCCATACAGCATCCCTAGGACCCGTAGCCTAGGACACCAGACCTCAGTCCAATAAGGCGCTGGTCTTTCCCATTTTGTTGTAATAACCCTTCTAACCACCGTGCTGCTGCAGCAATCACCCGCTTCCTTTGACATTCATTTTTGTTCCTAATGTGCGTCAGCACCTGCCTCCACCAAACGTCGAGGGCTTCGTCTTTCCTACTCTTGTAGAAGACTCCGCCTGTGCTAATGCTGCATCCGGAACCCATTGGGTCCTACCATCAATCTGCACTGCCGCTTGCTGTGCAGGTTGGGGTATGTGCAACTGTTCTGTAAAAACAACCGTCTTAAGGGAAGAAAAAGAAGCATACTGAGTCTGCATGTCTACAGCTAACTGTCCGCCTGACAGACTAGTACCAAGCCTAGCTAGAGAAGGACCAGACACCAGCGACATTCTAGTCGCCGACGATGAGACAAGTAAAGGTTGCCTTTCAGTCCGGACACTAAGCGGCTCAGTTAAGGATGTACCAATTTGTCCACTTCTACTGTCCACCCTCTGTATCTGAACTTAGCTGGAAAGGAGAGAAGTGTCCATACTTTCTCGCATGGACATGGACTCTTGCATGCCTACTTCGCATGCCCGCAGATCCTGCTCTGTGTTGCTGAGTCCATTTCCTTCTGATCCCTGTAACCTAACTTTGTCATTGTCTTCTCCACTAACTAGTATGGCTCTATCTCTAATCCTTTGCTTCCTGTCCACTGCGTCACTGACCCCGACTTCTAGCCGAATAGGAATGTCTACTGCCTCCTGAATGTCCAGGTCGGCTAGCATGACGTGGAGCGGCTTGCTGAACTGCGAGCTCACCATTTGACTTGAGACTGTTGTCTGACTAACACCTACTTTGGCAGATAGTGCCTCAGCCTGCACGACTTGTTTGTTGGATCCTCATGTCGCTGCTGCTGCGGCAGCCTTTACTAACCATTGCTCCGTTGCTGCTGCTGCCTTTTGGACCCAACACTACACACTGCTTTCAGTGGGTTCAACAGACCTTGTACACAACAGCCTCTCTAAGGGCTTTGCACCATGTCAGCCTCTATTAATCAACTCCCTCCTACTCACTGCTACACTCCCACATCAGCTATAGCAGACTGTTGTTTGCACTAGTGTCCTTGCTTGAACCTACCACAACATAGGGTCTGACCGATTTGTAAAATAAAAATAATAAAATAATTATTCGGTCCATATTTCAGAACGCAGTTCAGGCGGTGTTAACAGAAAATAAACATACTCATGCAAATGATCCATGGCTACGATCCGGACCACCAGACAGGGATCCGGACCGTCCGTGGTCCGGGGTCCAGGGTCCGGGTCCGGATCTTTGTCCAGATGTGAGGGCCCCAACCCAATGGCCAAAATTTTTTTGGGTTGTCCGGGCCGTTTGTTCACGCCCTGGGCCGCCCAAAAAAAATAGTGCCTTATTTTTTACCACGCTCACCGTCGATCCAGACGGCCCGGAAAGTCTACGAGGGGATTTGGTTTTCTTTGTTTGTTTGTTTGTTTTCGTACTTGCGGCGGCACATTAAAAAAATTAAAAAATTAAAAAGTTGAAAGGACAGTGTGGGGTGGCCAAACATTCCCCTCGCTCCTGAGTATTCATGTCCTAGTTGGGTCCAGCCTCTTTTCTGTAGGATCCCTACAACGTACTAGCTAGGACCCTACGTCATGCAGAGGTACAATTCAAACTTGTACTTCGTGAGCGTGGGCAGATAATATATCGTCTGAATTCGAATTCAGGTCTGTGCATCTCGGTTATGGGTCACTATTTCTCTGTTTTCTTGTTTTTGTTTTCTTCTCTCGTTTTTCTTTTGCCTCTACTCACCAAATGCACAAAAGACAAAACATATGGTGGCGTATTATTCCACGTTCTGCAGAAGATTCATTCTAACTTTGCACATTTCGTTAGTAGTGCAGCCAAGCCCTAAGAGTCACGTGCAGAGACCAACAGGGCCTAGCTACGTGAGCAACCCAAAACTGCTGAAACACAGACTTGAACTCGAATCTTGAGTACATATTTGGTCAGCTCGTGCTCTACTTCATATGTGCTGCCTGCCTCGATTTTTGGGGGGGATTGTGCTACATGGCTGCGAGGACCCTCCAGATAGCCTGCATGGGCTGTCTGGGCCGTGTTAAGGGGATTCGTT